TTGCAGCCAAAACCCAGAATCTTCTGAGAGGACCAATAATCGATTATCACTTGTTGACAATCGATTATCTGGGTTACCGTTGTCCTCCAACGGATAGAATTTTAAATTTTTGGACAAGGAATCTTTTGATAATCGATTATCAAGCTTGGATAATCGACTATCAGCCTGTGTCCTTGAAAAATTTGTCTTCATCCTGTTGGAAACTCTAGCAACGGGTTTATCCCACTTTGGGCTATAAAATGGCACCCAAATCCTCTCATTTTAAACACAATTCTTCAACATTTCAATACTCTTTCATTGCATAAGCATTCCTATTTTTCTTAGCTATTTGAGAGCCAATTCTTGAAGAAATTGTCGTGTTCTTGAGCGTTTACTAGTTCACTCATATCTACTCTTTGTGAGAGTTTTATTCGTGAGTGTTTAAGTGTTTTCATACACTTTAAGGGAGGTTGTTCCCTTGTTGTAAACTCGAAGGAAGTTCCTTGTTCCTTCGTGAGAAGCCTTGGAGTGCGGTATCTCCGAGCATTTTTAAGCACCCTTAAGCTTAACGGAGTTAGTGTAGCCTTGAGGCTCGTGTGACTCAGGTTCTCAAGTTGTATCGGTTTGTTAAGCACCCTTAAGCTTAACGGAGTTAGTGTAGCTCGAGAGAGTCTCTCGGGGGGCTGGATTAGCCACACGTTGTGGTGAACCAGGATAAAATTCGGTGTGCTCCTTCCTTACGCTCTTTCTTTAACGCTCTCGTTTTTAATTTCCTGCGATTTTGTTTTAAACGCTATTCACCCCCCCTCTAGCGTTGGGCCTTTATTCTAACAGGTGTAGCATATAAACTTCAAATGAATAGAATCATTGAATAAAGTATATTGAAGTTTTTAATTTATATACTCCCTTCGTCTAAAAAAGATTATCATAGTTAGACGTTTTTGGTAAAACTATGTAATACTCTAATTACAAATTATATACAGTTTTAAATAATTAAATGTCATAAAAACTTCATATATGAAAACAATATTTTAAATGGATACATTTTTTCTAAATTTACATTTTAATTAAATATAATATACTTTTTGTACACTTTGTGGTCAAAGTATAGAGCAACTTGACCAAAAATATCATATTGTTATCAAATGAAATAATAGTAAAAATTGATTTAATTATTAAAAAAAATAAAATAAAACTTCCAAATAAATCAATTAACTTATGATAAATCATTGAAAGATACGTAAGTGGTATATGGCCTATATGCCATGTGCAATCCTACAACAAAAACAAATTTAATTTATTTAATTTAATTTTTTGAAAAATTATATAAACAAATTAAATAATGTTGCAAGAAAAAAAGTAAAGTAAAATATATAGTTAATAAAATATAGTTATTTGTTAGAAATAAAAAAATAAGATAACTCGTGGATTCTTTTGAAAAATATATAAAATGTTAGTTTTTAAATAAAAAAGTTATAATACTTTTCTTTGAATAATCACATAATTGAGAATATTTAAAAGTATGTTATAATAATGAAATATATATTTTTCTAATAATTAAAAAATCAGGAGTTTTATAGAAAATAATAAACATAATGATTATTTAAAAAGTGAATGATTTTATAAACACGTAATAAAGATAATGGTGATTTAATGTTAGAAAGTTAAGGTTTTTAATATACCAATAAAATTAATACTTAGTTTATGTAAAACTAAGTATGCATACCTGACAAGACATGTGACATGGTGTGCACGCCTAGCATGAAAGGTTTATACAAAATTAATGGTCTTTGATTGAAGTGTTAATGAAAATTGTTTTTATTAAAAAAAGAAACTTCAAATGAACCAATTACATAATGACATGCCATTAGAAAGTCCATATGCGGCATATGCCACATGTCATCCTTGATTTATACAAAGCTTTCTTTCCTTAGAATTGTTGAAAAATATATAATAAAATAATTATTGTATGAAATTAGTTTTGTATAAAATAAAAATGGATATATCATAAAATTTATATAATTATTTTATAATTGTATTCGTTTTATTGAGAAAATTTAAAATAAATAGTGAATTGTTTTAAAAATCAGATACAATGATGCTTTTTAGTTAATGAAGTTTATATATTCTTATGTAATAATAATTGTGCATGTCATAATAAGTATATAGATATTTTCTAAAATTTTCAAAAGTGAAGTGTCTATAAATTGCTAATAATAATAATGGTTTGAAGGGTTATAAAATTTTAAGAAAAATTAAGGTTATTTAATGCTAGAAAGTGGAGGGGTTTATAAAAATTTAATGAAAATAAGTACGCACTTTTGGCATCACATGTTACGTGGTGTGCACATTTGACCTGAAAAAATATTTTTAAAAATAGTCTCAAAGTAAAAAAGGTTATAAAAAGTTAATAAAAATAATGGTTTTTTATTGTTGGAAAGTGAAGATTTTATGAAATATAATAAAAAAATAGTGATTACTAAATACAAAATTAAATATGTATGCATAGAAGGACACGTATCATGTTATTTACATGTGGCGTGACACATCTGTACTATGCATGCGTGGCATGACACGTGTCATCACTACAACTATGGAAATCTATTTTATACACGGAGTGTATCATCTACGGAGTGCATGTTATCTCTAAAACCACTCAGGCCAAACGCAGTAATTAACTTGTTTTGCGAAGCAGCAGCAGGCATACCCTTGTCGCTGATTGATTTAGGTCGTGACTGCTGTCGCCGCTTCTGATTGCCGCCTATCACCGTCATTCATCCTCTTGTTGTCGATTTGATCCGTTAGTTTGATTCGTTTAATTCATCCAATTCGTTCAATTCATCAAGGTGATTCGTGGTTCATATGTTTATCGTTAGAATAAATTGGAAATAGTTCTTCATTCGTATACATTTTATCAATTGATTACATGTTAGAAACATGACTTTTGAACTTTTTAAAATCTATCCTTAAATTATATATTGTTGAATTTGTAGTATAAGCATGTTTTAGGGATTCATGTATGTATGTATATGTTTGATGAATTTTTCTAGATGTTTTAACATCAATTTGACGTCTAAGCCTCGTCAGTGATTGCCGGGTGAAGGTTGAAGATGAGCACAGCTAACCAGCCATTAGGGGGTAGTCTGCTACCAATGGGCGATACCCAGGTGCCGTTACATAGTGGGTACCTATGGTGACCGTAACATCTGACCTGCAGACTTGTACCTTGGGGCGATACCCCAATACCGCCACGCAGTAGTGATGTAGTGTACTCAGACAAAAATTTGCATGTTCATTCTGCACCAGTTCGTAACTCATGGAATTGTAATGAGTGAAGCATAAAGGTAATCAGAGGATCTTCAGTTCCTTGATAGGTCTAGATTTGATGTGAATCAATTTCTTATGAGATATGCTATTGTGCCGATTGAGCTTATTGATGATATAGTGTGAACCATGAGTTCTAGTGATTGATTAGGCCACTAAGTGTAACTATGAGAACTTAAATTGAGTTAGATGATTGAATCACCAATCGGGTTGAGATTACAATTAAGGTCATGCGAGTGTCTTTGCACATCTGATGCTCTCAAGGGTTAAAACGTAGGTATGGTGGTCCATGACCTCTCCAGTGAGTGCCCGAGAGGGGACTCAACCCCCTCTATTGGGAGTTCTTTGGAGTGAC